AGCATCACCAGCATCATCATCATCAGCAGCAGCATGGCCATCATCATCAGCATCATAATCAGCATCATCATCATCATCATCATCATCATCATCATCATCATCATCATCATCATCATCGTCATTATCAATGTCATCATCATCATCATCATCACCATCATCATGAGCGGCAGCAGCATCGTCGTCATCATCATAATCAGCATCCTCATTGCCATCGTCATCGTCACCGCCACCCCCCACAATCATCATCACAATCATCGCCGTCAACATCAACGTCAGCATCACTATCACCATCATCACTATCACCATCGCCACAAGCAGGATCCGCATCAGGGTAATCATGAATCACCATCATCAATCACCATCATCATAATCGGCATCATCAGCATTATCATCAGCAGCATCATCAGCAGTATCATCAGCAGCAGCATCAGCATCAGCATCAGCATTAGCAACGGCATCATCATTCTCATCACACTACCAAGCACCATCATCATCACCAGCAGCATAATCAACATTATACTCATCAACGTTGGCATCATCGCCACCATCAACGCAAACATCAACGTCATCATCACCACTATCACCATGCAAACCAGCAACATCATCAGCATCGTAATCACCATCATCATCATCATCAGCAGCATCATTATCATCATCATCATCATCATATTCAGCACCATCATCATCATCATCATCATCATATCATCATCATCAGCATCATCATCATCATCATCATCATCAGCAGCATCATCATCATCAGTACCAGCATTATCACCAACATCATCACCATCACCATCAATCTCAATGTTGTATCGCCGTCACCATCAGCATAAACACCATCACTACCACCATACGCATCGTCACCGTCGTCATCATCGTCATCATCATCATCATCAGCATCGTCATTGTCGTCAGCATAATCACGATCAGCAGCATCATCAGCATCATAATCATCAGCGTCATCATCAGCATCATCACAAGCATCATCATCAGCAGCACTATGAGCATCATCAACACCATCATCATACTTATCATCATCATTATCACCATGAACACAATCAACATCATCACCATCATCATCGACACGATCAGCATCACCATCATCATCATCCTCAGCAGCAGCAGCATTATCATCGTCGTCACCATCATCATTCGCATCAGCAAATCCTGATCATCATCATCGTATTCATCCTCCTCCTCATCATCATGAGCAGCAGCACTACCATTATCAGTACCCTCCTCCTCCTCCTCCTTTCCTTCCTCCTCCTCCTCCTCACCCTTCTTCGCCTTCTCATGCCCCCGCTCGTCCCCCCTTCCCTCCTCCGCCCGAGGGGTCGCCCGCGTAGCTGTCTCGAGGCGGTCGAACCTCCGGGTGAGCAGCTGCCTGGGCGCCTTGTGGGGCAAGCGCGGCTTCGGCAGGCTCCATTTGCCCTTGGCCTCGGCACGGCCGCCACAGTCCCCTGCCCTCCTCCCCCCTCGCCCACGTGCGCCGCGTGGTCGCGGCAGCCGCCCGTGGGGCCAGCCCGCCAGGCCAACGTGGACGCGCGGCCTGGGTCCTGTGCCGCCCCTCCCTCCCTACGCCCTGTCGGGGTGCGCGCGTGGCCTACCTGGCAAGCTAGACGCCTGAAAGCACAGAAGCCCTCCAACCCTGGGCACCTCCACTCCACTCCCCTCCTCTCCTCCACTCCCCTCCCCTCCCCGCGTCCATCTCTTCTCTCCTCCCCCGCCCGCTCATGCGGGCGGGGGCGGGGGCGGCCCAGGGCGCGAGGGAGCCAGGACAGCAAGCGGCAGATACGAGCTCTCGCGCTAGGCTCCAGCCGCCGGAGGGCTCCGCCCCTGCTTCTTCGCTCTTGAGCCAGGGGCACCATGCGCAGCATTCGCGCGGTCTGGGGTCTCCATCTTTCGGCGTGTGCCCTGGCAAGAGAAATGCCTCCTCATCTTCCTCCACCTCCTCATCAGCCTCTTTCCTCCTCGTTCCTCCTCCCCCTCCCCCCTCATATTTGTTCCTCCCCTGTCCCCCTCCTTCTGGTTCTCGCCGTCCGCGTCCCTGTACCTCACCCTTCCGCCTCATCCTCCTTGTCATCCTTCTCCCCTCCTTCCTCATTCCCAGTTTCTCCTCCTCCTCCACCTGCTCCTCCTCCTCCTCCTCCGCCTCCTCCTCCTCTTCCTTCGCAGTCCCCATCCTCCTCCTCCTCCTCTTCCTCTTCTTCCTCCTCCTCCTCCTCATCATCATCATCATCACCCTTCTCCGCCTCCTCCCTCCCCTCCTCCTCCTCCTCCTCCTCCTCTTCCTCCTCCTGCTCTTCCTCCTCCTACCTGCCCTCCTCCTCCTCCTCCGCCTCCTCATCCTGCGCCTCATCCTCCTCCTCCTCATCATCATCCTCCTCCTCCGCCTCCTACCACTACTAGTACTAGTACTAGTACTAGTACTAGTACTAGTAGTAGTAGTAGTAGTAGTAGTAGTAGTAGTAGTAGTAGTAGTAGTAGTAGTAGTAGTCGT